TATAGGGGAGCTACTTCTCCCTTATCGTCTATTTCGATATATAAGCTATTAGGGGCTTTGTTATCCTCCTATTAAATATCCTCTATTAACTCCTCCTAATCTAAGTTTATTAGTTTATTATCTAGATTATTAACCCTATCGATATTGCTTTTAAGGTCGCTCTATATATAACTAGTAGCTATAACTTCTTGAATTTAAACTCCCTTTATAGCTTGGTTAATAGTAGTAGTCTCCTTCCCTAGAACTACCTACTATTCCTTCTTACTATAGTAATTATATTTAAAATAACCCTTTTTACTATAGTTATAGTAGGTAATACCTAACCTATCTCTAATACTATCCTTCTTTCCTACCTATTATACTTGGATAGCGTTAACGTTTATAGGTCCTAAGTAAGTATTATATAAGGTACTCTAGTATTAGCGTTTTTTTTTATTGTTAACCTTATAGTAGTTTATAGGGTAATAGGAGTTATAGCCTTTCTTTTACTACTTATATATATACTACTAATCGTCGATTTAAACTACTTTAGCGATAAACTTGTTAAGGGTATTGGGCTAATCTTCTCGGTAAAGCTTATCTTTAACTTCCTCCTTAAATCTACTATAGAATAGGTATATTAATCCTTTATCGTCGATCTCTACTCTAAGGGTATCTTATCGAAAAAGTATAGTATAGGTAGTAGCTAATTTAATCTACTTTAACTATCCTAATCTATCTTAAACATATAGTTTTTCGTCTATATCGCCAAATACCTTCTAAATTTCTTCCTCGAAGTTAGTATACTTCTTAAAGACCTTAATAGTAAAGTTATCTCGATTATCGTTCTTAGTATTATCAAGATAGTCCTTTAAGGTTAGTTCGAACTACTAGAGTACCTTATCCTTAAGGTATAATATAGCGAAATAAATCTTACTTACCTCGATATCGAATATATCCCTATAGTACTTGTAGTAGGACTTTATCTAAGTAAGGAACCCCGTAAGGCTTTCTTTATCGCCTCTATACTTCTCGGGTACCTCCAGCTTAATACTCCTAACTAGAAGTTTAGTGTAGGCCTCGTTAATAGCCTACTATATATCACCATACTCCAACTCTAGTTAGGTAACTATAGCCTACAACTATATAAGTACCAGCTAAGCCTATTCTAGGGTTATAGCGGGGGTAGTAGCCAATAGGGTAGCTACAATATCGTAATACCTTTAATCTAAACTATAATACAATTAAAGGGAGTTAGCAATATATAACGAATCTCTCCTAAACCTAACTCTAAAAGGGTTTAGCCGGATTAAAGGTTAATATAAGGGTACTAGATTTGGTATAGCTAAAGGGTATATAACAATAACTTATCTCTTACAATAGGCTCTCGAACTTATAGTGGACTATAATATAAATTGCTAACTAGAGAACTCCCCGAGCTCTCTAGAACGAGTAACTATATACTATCTAATTCCAAAGTACTTCGTACCTTAATCGTTATAATCGTCCCTCGATCTCGAGGATCGCTTATAGGTACTCGTTGTAATCGCAACGCGATTACAGCGATCACTCCTTTATTAGCTGGTTAAGCGAGTGGTTCCCGGCGCACCCCGCGTGCCAGCAGGCAGCCTTACGGCCGCTTATATGGTCAACTCGTGACAATATACTAATATACCTAGGTTTATTCTAAATAAGGCTTAATCCTTCCTATATTAGCCTACCTATTTTTATTATAGAGTTAAAGGTTTCTAAACCCCTTAAAGGGCCCTAAACTATTTCCCAAGCTTTTATAGTAAGTTAAAGTATCTCTATCCTTACCTTAGCTTAATTATTATATTAAAAAGTTTTATAGTACTTTTACTATATTAGGGTAGTATTAATAATAATTATAGTATCTTCCTTATTATTAGATAGGTAGGATATTATTAAAGTAGTATTAGAAATATTAATATTTTACTTAGAACTATTAGATTCCTATATAAAATAGATATTATCTTTATTATAACCTTAATATTTATTATAACTATATTAGTTATACTAATAGCAGCTATAAAACTACTTATAGTAAGAGGAGTAAAACTTATAATATTTAGAATAAGTGGAATAGAGATAATCCTTAACCTAGAAGTTAAAGATTACTTACTATTTAGACTTATTTAATCCTGGATAATACTTATAAATAGTGTTATACTAATAAGGATTTAAAACTTCTCAATCTTCTATATATACTATGTTAAGTTATCGAAATTATTAAGATAAAGGTATTATTAGATGTTAAAATATATATTACTCGAGATTTATAATATAATATGAATCTAGTTTATATAGTTAGAGCTAAATATATATATTTTATAAGTTTAATAAAACTTCTTGTATATAAATTAAAGTAAAGTTTATTTATTTTTAATAATTTAATAAAGTTATAGTTTATATTATTAAAGGCTATTAGTTATAGTTATAGTATTTAAGTTAAAATAGTTTATTAGTTTATCTAATAGGGTAATAAAATCCCTATTCTTTAACTTAATATAATAGGTAGCTATAACCTTATTTATTTACCATAAAAATAATAAAACTACCTAAAAGAGTTTAGAATTAACCTATAATCTAGTAAATACTATCTTTACTAATACTCTTAATAAATATAGAGATATAGTTAATAAAGCTATAGATATTAATAAGTATAAGGTTTTTACTATCCTATATTAAACTAAGCTTATCTAGGTTTTTATACTCTAGATTAAAGATACTAATTTCTTTATATTTAATCTTGTTAATATTATAGTTATTACTAGAGGTGTTAGAGTTATATAAATACCTTTATAAAATCCTCAATATAGATTATAATTATCTTAATAGTTACCTTAAGGTAGAGGTAGAGTCAAAGCTCTTAAATAGAAGAAGTTATTATTCTATAGTTATACTAGTTATTAAGATACTTATATTAGATTTAAGAATAGAGTTATACTAAGGGTTATTAAAGGTATTAAATAATAAAATTTCTTAGATAAAGAGCTATAATTAAGATTAACCTATATCCTAATATATATACCTTTAAATAGAATATTAAAAGTTATCTTTAACCTATACTCTAGGAGGTTAGTTTATAGGTAATAGGTAACCTTCTTCTATTAAATAGGGTTATTAGCTCTTTAATTCTAAATTAGAGTTATAGGTAGTTAATCTTTTAGTTATTAGAGTTATACTTTAAATTTTCTTTTAAAATCTTTAAACTTATAGTTAATTATTAAATCTAATATTTCTAATATCTTATTCTATAATTACTCGATATTAAACACTTTATAATATATATAGTAGATAGAGTTTATATTAAACCCTAGTTTAATAAGTTTACTATTATTATAATATATTTAAACTAAATTTAAATCTTTATTAGATAGTTAAAGAATATAAAGTATTATATTAGATTATAAATAACCTATAATACTATTATTAAGTATAATATATTTAATACTTAAATAGGTAAATATTTAATAGTTATTTAATTAAGGTTATAGTAAATATTAGATAGAGTTATAATAATATTAGTTACCTCCTCTATTTTAAGGTTTTAGATCTCTAGTATATTAGGGTAATATACGTTTAGGAACTTACCTAATACTACCTATTTATTACCTTTACTAGATATTATTGATTAATATATTAATTACTTAATTAATTAATTAGGGTTATTAATTTACCTTAATTAATCGTTTAATTAAAAGATACTATAGTTACCTTTAAATTTTAGTAATATAGATAGATAGAGGTAGGGATAATAGTACCTTTCCTAGTTACTAATTTACTAGAGTAAAGCCTAATAGTTATAGTTAGGGATTACTATAATAGGGTACTAATTTACCTATTAATATAATTGCTAATAGCCGAGTTATTATATAAATTATATACTACTTATAATTAAATTAATTAATTAATCAATTATTAAGATTATTTGGATCTTTAGTAGAAGTTACTATTTAATATAGTCTAACTATATAATATAGAATATAGTTATATAGAATAATAATAAAGAGTAATAGAAATTAAAAGGAAGGTTGGGTGTAGAGAGTTGTAGAGGCTATATACAAATATCCTATATGTGGTGTATAGACCCTTTTACAATGCTAACTTAGCCTAACCCACGTATGCTATATATAGTATACGGGGTATAGCCCTAACCTAGGTCTACAGGGTAGCTAACCTGGTCCACTAGTATAAACCTACCTTATCTAATCTATTTATAAATATATTCTGATACGGTTCAACCGTACGATGCGGAATGCAGTCAATATAATAGTAGTAAAGAGTGATGGAGATTGAAAGGAAGGTTGGGTGCAGAGGGCTGTAGAGGCTGCATGCAAATATCCTATACGTAGCGCACGGACCCTTTTGCAATGCTGACTCAGCCTAACCCACGTACGCTACGCACAGCGCATGGGGCACAGCCCTACCCGGCACTACGGGCCGGCTAACCCGGTCTGCTAGCACGAACTCACCTTATCTAATCTATCTATAAATACATTCCTATATTATAGTCCTATATTATATTCTAGACTTCAGCATCTATAGATAAAAGTCTACTTATTATAATCTATAGGTAGTAATATATATATAATATAGTGCCGTTAAGGGGAAGGGTATTGAGGACTAATATAGTTCTAGAAGCCTCAAAAAGATATCCTAGAAATCGGGAGCCGAGTAAATAACTTGGTTCCTCAGCCTTCTCTTATATCAATATTAATAGTTATAATAAAATCTTTAATATCTATAATTTAATAATAACTTAACTCTTAAGAGAAATACTTTTAAAGATATTATTAAGTATAAATAATACTATTAAAAGTATTAACCTACTATTTATTAAACTATTAGTAGTTATAGGCCTTTTTCTACTAAGTAGAACTACTAGAATCTAGAAGGTAGTAAGCTAACTTATTTGTTAGGGTTTTTTTCTATATTATAATAAAATATTAAATACTAAATAAATAAAGTTAATATGATAGAAAGAAGTAAAAAGTAAACGACCAGGCTGGGATTCGAACCCAGAACCTTTACCAACCAAGATATACCACCGGAAAGTAACGCGCTACCCTTGCGCCACCCGGCCGATTGCAATTAATTTTGCAAGATCTATTCTATATAGCATGTGTCTCAGCTATCCTAGCTCTACCTAACTTAATGCTAACTAAATCATAAGTTTTCGACTATCTTCGTGCTTTATTCCTATCGATTATTGCTTGCTTAACATACTTATTTCATGTTAGTACACTTTCTTAAACATTAACGTTATTGTTTACTTATATAAGATCCTTCTTTCTATAGCTATACAAAACCTTTACCACTATGCACCTCGCAGGCCACTGGAGGTCTTGCCTCCCTTTACCCGCTAACATATCTCCTTTTTAACGCAATACTTCGGGTTAATCATGAGTAAGAACCTCACTTGTTACGAAGCAAAACGAGTTGCCTTAATTTACGCGCTATCATTATTATGCATGTGGGCATTGGTCCAGGGACGCGAACGAGGTAACCGAAACCAGAAGCTAAAAACCCTGCCCCCTGGCTATCTCAATTCAACCACTCACTACTCCGTACAATCAAGCGTTATTCGCCGCAGCTCTCCGTGAAGTGCTGTTGGGGTCAAGATACGGCCGCTCACCCAAGCCCACTGCTCGGTTTCCGAACCGCTCCCCGTAGTTACCCTCTAGGTAGTCAAAGGTAGCGGTATGGAACACGGAACGGTTGTCCCAGATAGCTTCGCTTATTAGTAACCGGTACTTATGCGTCAGGGTAATAGAAACGTACCAATGTCGTTGGGGTTCTTCCACTTGAAGCGGACCTGCAAGTCGTGGTTCTTGTAGACTAGGTCCAAAAACCAGCTGAGAAGCTTGGAGCTCTCGTCCTCGGTCAAACCGTTGATGTGTTTGACGTGGCCGCCGACGGGGAAAATGCTCTTCCAGCCCGTGACGGGATTGGTGCGCACGACGGGATGGACGGCCTTCAGCTCAGTGCCAACGTTCTCGGGGGCACCCCGTGGCTTGTCGTACATCTGGAACCCTGAGTCTTCCGCCACCTTCCGGAACAGAGGCTGCTCAAAGGTCACGGTGAGGCTCTCGAGGAACTTCTGATACGGTTCGCTAATGCGGTCGTAAATCTCATAGCCCGACGCCCACAGGGTGTCTAAACGAGAACTGTTAGCCGTCACCATCTCGCAACCGCGACTTGATCACTCACCTCCTCCGGTGCTGGGTAGTTGCACCAGACGCAGGGACGTGTAGTCAGCTGGCACGGGTTCGAATGCAATATCGCTATGCCATTGGGCACTGCTCAGCCGCTTGGGGCTGAGTGCATCTGACGCTAGTGGCTTGGAGTAGAATTTCTTGTTCTGGACCGAGCTGATGGTGCTGATCTCGGGGTCGCTCCCACCTAGCTCGCGCTCGGAGTTGAGAATTGGGTGGATATGAAGACCCGACGTAGCAGGCCGCCCAGTCAACTCCCCAAGCCGCAGAATGAGCTGCTTCTGGAGGTCGTTGGTCAGACCATCCTGGGCGCGGAAAAAGACGACGCCACGCTGAGAGACTGGGACTGTTAGTTATCTTGATCTCGGTCCATCAAATGCACCCAAACTCACTGGTGATGGCGAGATCCCTGAGCAGATCGTCCGCGTTGGGCGCAGTGAGCCACTCGCTCAAGTTGGCCTTGGGAAACTCTCGACCGATGACGGGTGTAACATCGAAGGATTCGTAGGTGTCAAGCGCCCCCGAGAGCTTGAGAGGCTCGCGGGTTACGCCCTTTGAGACCACCGGAATGTCAACTTCGATTGCTGACGGGGCCATGTTGCTGCCGCGGACGAGTTAAGGGGGCTGGGCACACAAAGTATGAGAGAGGGTTGGAGAGGCCGGGGTCAAATAGAATGCTCAGTCAGGTTGTGCTTCAGTACTCGTCAGAGGTGGCACGTCGGTGTCTTTATATAGCGATACATGGCAGAGATACTTCCCCGAGCTGACGTGACAGGTTTACATCATTGATGTGGTATATTGTTGCCTGTACCATATCTCCCCACCCCGCTTTACCCCCTCGGTGGTGGCATCGGCTCCGGGAAACGGCGGGGAGTGCGGAGAGGTTCATGGCTGACCACTGAATGAACATGATTCATGAAATTGCGAGCTCCCAGGCGTGTATTCCGCCATTCTCGTTATTTATAAATGGAGCCGGTGGGTGGGCATCGCAACAATCCACTATCGGATGGGCACAAGAGAGCATCACTCGTGCAATTATACCTGTTTTGTAACGGTTTGATTAACGCTTTGTCTTCCGAGTGGCCTCCCATCTCTCGGTTTCGTATTTACCCCCGGTACCGACCGCGGTGATTGCGGAAATAATGCAGCTTTGCTGATGGCCGGCGCCGTTGGCTTATCGGCTGGATATGGCGCTCGGTGGGCCAGGTATGCCGCCATTGACATTGGGAATTATAACATATTACCATTGGCCAACGGTGTATCTCGAGATGCGGGGCGGGCGGTCATAGAAAGTCCCATTAGTCGTTGGGCCGAGCACGTTTCATCACGCCATTCCTTGCCTTTAATCCTAACCTTGGCGTGGATTATTCCCGCCGCTCTAGACAGTAAGATCATGGCCTCGGCTTTCCGTTCCACGTCTCGACTCCAACTTCATGACACTGGGGTTGGGGGTACCGCTTCCTGCTCCCGTATTCCCTGAAAACTAGTTCACTTTCGCGCGGTTGGCTCCGGCCAGGCTCCGGCCGCTTTAAGCGGGCCGGGTAAGCCAGGGGTGAGGTGGCAACTTGCCGCCGACCCCTGAAGCTCAGATGCGGCCAGTCCGAAGTTTCATGTCCGGTCCACGCCAGAGAGCGGCCCGATGAGTATGTTATACGTCCTTAACTCAAAGACGCGGGTTCCGTGTCCCCACCTCCTAAGAAAAGAAGAAGACCTTGGCGGAGAGCAAGACCCCGACCCCCACGACAAGAAAATGGACGAGGACTACATCCCCGTTGGCCCTAGCCTGGGCCCATGCCCAAGTCTTCAAGCTCCTCAAGGGCCTCGCGCCGTGAAGGGGCTTGGGAGCTGGATTCAAATTTGCTATCAGGTTATTACACCCATGCCCACACTGATGATGTATTAAAAGTTTGCAGTGCTATGGTCTAGGTCGCCAATAGGCATTTATGATTTATATCTCTGTCTGCAATGCTGATGGACTATGTTGACGGGCGAACTGTGCTCGGAAGACTGAGGCCATAAAACCCGAACCGTCTCGCCCCGCGCTCCATAATATTTTCTTGTCCCGATCGACGAGGGGAGCAGCAACTTCCTAAAAGTGGCCGGAGTGTCGGTAGGCAGAGGCACACTATCGAGCATGCCACTTCCCCAAAGGACCAGTATACGGTCACCGCCGCTGTGAAGCTGGTATCTGGGTCTCGAAGAGATGCGCGGAGCGTAGTGAGACGGAGTGCTGACAATATACACGTCCTGCGAGAAACTTGCATTAGATACCACCCTTTGCCCAGGCGACTTGGGAAGATGGGAGTACAAACAAGAACCCTAGGCCAAACACTCCCATTAGGATAACTTTATGTAGTGGAGGTAGAGGTAGCATCTTCAACATTGGCATTGGCATTATAAAGATGAGGAGGTCGGTAATAACGTGTACGATACCGTAGCCGAGCCAATACCAGAAACGCTGCTCGCACGTCGAAATGGGATTTCGAGGATCCCAGTTTCTGGAGATTGGAAGGCAGATGGTAGCGATTCCGATGAGGCCGCCAATAGCCCAAACAGCGAGGAACGCCAAGAAGATATCACAGAGCCGTTGGAAGGTAGGGAGCGGGAAGACACGCCGAAACTGGAGTAGGAAAGTGGACTTGAGAAGTATAATGCAGAAGTGATATCCGAAGGTTGAGATGAAGATGACCTACATATAATGTTAGCCCGTCTCTGGATTTTCGTCAAAGATCAGGATCTAGATTTGGAGATATTAACTACCTAGGTAGTAATACTTACCTTTGAAAACGCCGACCTCTGCTCTATAGAAAGGGTGTCGAAGTGACGGCCAAGCCCTAGCTTTGTTGCTTAAAAGGGGTTAGTATAGACCAGTAATCAAGAGGTTCGATATCAGGAGTTAATTAGGTAGGCATATACCATAGGTTGTTACAATGACACCTGCGATCGTGGAAAACTGGTAGGTAGTCACTGGTGTTAGCCTGCCCTCCTTTACGTACTTTCCCCGAGGAAGGGCAATAGGGGCTCGAACCAGTGTTACGGCCAAGGCAATGTCGTCGATCCCAAACTTGCGAAGGAGTCGGAATCGGACGTAAAACCGTAGAGAGGTGACAACTATGACTACAACCAAGCAGACGATAGCGTACGCAACTAGGCTCCCTACGGCATGTTCTTGGGTGTCTCGTGGGATGCTGCTGCGCATGTTGCGGTCCATGCTGGTCCACGTTCTGGGTTTGGCCTTCGTTATAAGACATGGACATGGCGATGCTAATCCATTGGGGGCATCGGGGCTTGGCGCGAGCTTCGAGCTCAGGGACACCGGGACGGATCGCTATACCCAAGTGGGTTCTGTATTAGCGCAGTATGGCGAGTAGGGTATATCGTGAGACGGCTCCGAGAATTTGGGTCATGAGTTTCGAAAATCACGAACGCAAAGATCATTCTGCGCGTCCTTTTCTTGTTCATGTTGTCGCGACCAGCTTTGCCACCACTTTTGGTCGCCCAATCAAACCAGCCTGCACGTGCACCGGGATATACCTAGTTCAGGGGCTGTGGCGCTCGCGACTCGGGCTAGCGACAATTATGATTGCTTTTGTTGTGCTATACATACCGGTACCTTACCGCTGTGTACGTAGGTGGCGTTCATCGCCGTCCCGTCATCCAACCCGCGGGCCCCCTTCCAAACCACCGCGTCACCGAACGGCTGGGCTGGACCCACAAACGCCATCGTGCCATGACGAGCAAAACTTGTGTAACGTCCCGAGATTTCGTCCACTGCCTAGGTTATCGTCCTTCCGGCGGGATGGAAGGCCGGAGTACGTGTAAACTCGAACAACGGTGAGCATTGTTGCACAGCACTTCTACCTTATAG